ATCTCGTTACTGACAAGTCACTTTACTCATTACATAATGCATATCCCGTGACTAACCACTTAGTCACATTGAGCTCATTATGATGATGCATTACCGAGTGGGCCCAGAGATACCTCTCCGTCATACGGAGTGACAAATTCCAGTCTCGATTCATGCCAACCCAACAGACACTTTCGGAGATACCTGTAGTGCACCTTTATAGTCACCCAGTTACGTTGTGACGTTTGGTACACCCAAAGCAATCCTACAGTATCCGGGAGTTACACAATCTCATGGTCTAAGGAACTGATACTTGACATTAGAAAAGCTTTAGCAAACGAACTACACGATCTTGTGCTATGCTTAGGATTGGGTCTTGTCCATCACATCATTCTCCTAATGATGTGATCCCGTTATCAATGACATCTAATGTCCATAGTCAGAAAACCATGACCATCTGTTGATCAACGAGCTAGTCAACTAGAGGCTCACTAGGACATGTTGTGGTCTATGTATTCACACATGTATCACGGTTTCCGATTAATACAATTATAGCATGAATAATAGACAATTATCATGAACAAGGAAATATAATAATAATCATTTTATTATTGCCTCTAGGGCATATTTCCAACAACAAGTTCTTGGGAGTGGTTTCTCACTACATTGAGAGATGACCTTAACATCACAAATACTACTCCTTTCACTATTATGAGTGACAAGCAGAACTGTTTGATCAATGATGTGCAAAAAATCTGGCCAGATGCTGAGCATAGGTTTTGTGTTAGGCATATTTATCAGAATTTCAATAAGAAGCACAAATGAGAGTTGCTGAAGCAAGATATGTGGGTCATTGCAAGAGCACCAAACAGGGTGAAGTGGATCCAAAACTATGAGAAAATGGATGGACATAGTGCAGTTGCCTTCCACTTGACTGAAAGACTTGATCCAAAGACATGGTGTAAAGCATTTTCTAGTGTCTTTTCCAAGTGTGATATTCTGTTGAACAATAACTCTGAAGTATTTAACAGGTAAATCATTTGCAACAGTTTGTGAAGTACGTACCTCTTCCTATGCATTAATTTTGTTATATTGTTGCAACATTCTATGACATGATACTAATCAGTAATGGTGCAACATTTGTTGCAACTACATTCTGGAGGACAGAGAGATGGCAGTATTGTCAATGCTGGAATACATTTTTTACAAGATCATGCAAAGGCTAGTGAGTAAACAGAGAGAGGCCATAGAGAAGTGGGCAGGGCAGAGAATATGCCCAAAGATCAAGAAGAAACTAGACAAGAACACTGAGTTTGCTACTAATTGCCATGTCTTAGAAGCTGTCCAACAATTGTTTAGAGTTCAGTCTGGTAACTCTAGTTATACAGTTGACTTGTGCTTGCACACTTGTGACTGCAGGAGATGGCAGCTGTCTGGAGTACCATGTGGCCATAGTATAGCATGCTGCAGGGAGGAGAGAATTGACCCCGAGACAATGGTTCATGACTGCTACACTTTGGAGAATTATCTAAAAGCATATGGATACACTCTGGTTCCACTTAGAGATCCAAAGCATTGGGAGAAACAGAATGGTTACAAAGTATATCCACCAGTTTTCACTAAACGGTTGGGAAGGCCAAAGAAAAACAAGAAGAAAACACCAGAAGAGAAGAGAAGTAAGAATGGTGTTAGATATTTGAACAAAAAAAGGTGTGACAATGCACTGCTCAATTTGTGGCAGAGCTGACCACAACAGGAAGGGGCACTACAGATTGTAGGAAGCACTAATTGCAGAAGATAGAGCTTGTTGATGAGAACTATGATGACCCAACATTCTTCAGTTATGCTTCAGTTGCATCTTATTTTTTATAGTTGGCTCTACTGCATGAAATGTGGTTAATTGCCTAAATTTAGCTTTTCTTTTCTTTGCAGAACATCTTTCCGAACAGGCCAGATCCTAGGTTGGATCCTAGTGAGTCACCAACCAGTATGGTTCTAACATGGCCAGCAGGGAAAGAGCAAGAAGAGCACCTCAAAGGGTCCATGGCCCACTGCCTGAGCTCTCTTCATTTGTTGTTGCTGTTGGGGCTGAAATAGGATAACCCAGGGTCACTACAGAAATGAATATTGCTAGGCAGACAAGGGCAAGAACTGAAGCTGACAGTGGAAGAGGAAAGAAAAGGAGAGGCAGAGGAGAGGGAAATCCAAGTGCAAGAAGAGGAAGGGGAGCAAGTGCAGTCTCAGCTCCAGGAAGAGGTGCCAGTGCAGATGCAGCTCCAGGAAGAGGGAGAGGAGCAAATGCAGAAGCTGGGAGAGGGAGAGGTGCAAATGATGGCAGGCGACGAGGCCGGGAACGGTGGTGGCGCCGGCGATGGCGGGGGTGGAGGGCGGAGGGAGGGCGGGGCAAGAGGAAATTGGTTGTGTCCCCGACGGGCGGGGCGGGGGGACAAAGGCACGTGTGTCCGTTTGGACACAAACACGGTCTGAAATGGGTTGAAACTGGACTGAAAACGGATATTGGTCCATTTGTTCCCGCGCGTTGGACCGCGTTTTCTATTGTTTACCCCAAACGAACGCGGCCGAACCATTTGGGGTCGTGCGTTGGAGTTGGCCTGACTGACTTGGTATCCCATCGAGACATTGGAGGCGGGTACGGGGGTCCGGAAACTGCACATCAAATACGACTCGCTAGGATAGGATGTGCAGCACTGCAACTGCAAGTACTACTGAAAATCACTAACCCCAAGAACTTGATGAGTCTTGGCAGCAGCTTTCCATCGTTTTCCGTTCTTTCCACTCCAGAAGGCACTCGGCAGCATCTTTGAGAGACCATCCCATCCAGACCAAAAGTCACCACCAAACAGTGCCACTCTATCCGTAACAATAATCCACATTTATTCGTTTCCTAGGAGTGGACTGTTTTTATGGCATGCTGGAAAAGTCAGGGGCCGTCGCCCTCAGATTCACCTACGACTACGGACTACGGCCGAGGGTCGCTCCTGGGCGGCAACCAACTCGTCCAGAACAGAACCCCAGCGCCAAAGCCTCTCACGATCAGGTGCTTTTCTTCTACTTTTCCTTTGGTCAATTCTGAAGGTTCGAAGTTCCAACATGACTGCGACCCGGGGATGATTAAGAAAATTTACTAGTAACAGAGTAGGGTGATTAAGATGGTTTGCTGTGCGTCGCGTCGTGCCGTCGTCGACAGGTGGTGGCAAGTACGTAGTACGTACGTACCACCAGATGCTAGGAGATTCCTTTGGTTGCACTTTGTTTTTCTAGACTACTAGAAGACGATGACGCGTGTCCGTTCTTGCCAGCGGCGTTTTTCTAACCGTGTTCAATGGCCCGTGTCAGAATTGTTTTGTTGCGTGGTCAATGGTCGAAGTAACAGTTCAGAATTGTTTTGCTGCGTGGTCAATGGTCGAAACAACAGTTTTTCTACTCTGCTGGAGGAGCACATATGTTCCTTTGGTTAAAGAAGAGAGAGTGGCAGGGGGGCTGCCGGAATGTTCCTGATGTGGATGGACAGACATAAAGGAGAGATGAGCATCGTCGTCGACCGTCGTCTTTAATCTGGAACCCTGAAAAAGCATCTCGTCAAGCGCGTTCCCATTGTTTCACAAAGACTTTTCCACCTCCAGAAACCAAGCTATTTTGTTTTTCCAAGGCGACATGGGATGGGATGGGCGCGCGGGAGACACGAAGAGGATTTGGCGCCCTGCAAAATTTGAAGCGTGGTCCTGCACTGCTCCCTCCCTCCGCAACCGATTCAGAGCGAGCGAGCAGGCGTCCCTCCCGCGATCTCCCCCGATCAGCCATCACATGGGCGCAGGGGGTCCAGACTCCGGAGGCAACATGTGACCCGCCACCGTCGTTTACCCGCGAGAACTGGGATCCTCGACGATCTGGGGAGGGCACGGCCAAAATTGCAGGTGGCCCAGCCTACCAGAACCATTGAAACCCACCCTGACATCGGTCAGTTCCGTGCACAGCACAAACACGTACGCACGCACGCTGCTATGCTAGGGTCCTAGCGCTGTCGCGTCCACGATGAACCAACCAGGATGCCGGTTTTCGTTGAGCGCTTGCCATCTACTTCCTCCGTTCCGAATTACTTGTCGCACGTATAGATGTATTTTAATTCTAGATACATCCATTTCAGCGACGGGTAATTTGAAACGGAGGGAGTACCAGGGCCAACAAATCGTACCGGCTGCTACGACGGGATTGGGTCATCTAGACAGCAACTACACTAGATATCTTTGAATCATAATCATCATCAAGCGTGTACAGAACCACTGGTTTTGCTCTCTCGATCGATGGATCCCATCCCAACATGGATGTACCTCCCAACTGTTAATCAACAATGAGAAGCAATGATGAGGAGCAGGCAAGTCGCTACGCTCATCAGGCGAAATTCAATTCAGTTTCCCTCCCTGTCAAAACAGTCTCACTCGCCCCGCCGAAAGCCGAAAGCCGTGCCACCCGACCCGGCTCGAGACGGACACACCACGCAGTAGCTTTCAACAACAAATGGAGCCATCCAGGGCACCATGCATGACCCACACACACAGCCAAACTGGACATGCCCATCGGCAACAACTGGATCCACAGGACAGACACCAGGCAGGTAAACTCACCAATGGTTTTGGCCAACGAGTTCCGGGCAATTTGATCGGGCTGAGTAATTACATGGGGACAGCTAAAGAACCAACCTAATCAGCTAGAACAATAGCTAGACGAATCAAGCAATCGCACAGTCGGGCATGCATGCATTCCATCCCTAAACACCACCACCACGCAATCACCCACCACACAACAGACACAGTCAGTCAACAACACCAAGACGACGACGACGACGACAACGAATCCGATGTTCGCTAAAAGGAAGAGATGAGAAAACAGCCGGCTCCGCCGTCGAAGAAGAAGATAGACAGCATTCGTCAGGTCTATGAACGGAATGAATGTGGGCTGCAGCGACGAGCACAGCCGGCTCCTTTCTCTTGGGCCATTTGAGATCACGGCGAGGAGGGGCCCTCGGCCATCTCATCGCCCTGGTTCAGGGCGCTCTGTTGTTGATCAGCTTCTTCGGCGCTTCCACCTGACATCTTGATCTCCTCGATCCGCATGACGACATGGGACATGGTCGGACGGGCGTCTGGGACCTGGGCAACGCAGTCTATAGCGAGCTGTAGGAGCTGAATCATCTGTTCTTCGGAGCTCTGGTTCCTCAGCAGCTCCATGTCAAACACCTCCGCGGTCCACTCAGAGCGCACGACGGACTGCACCCACCTGGGCAGGTCGACGCCCTCGTCGTTAAGAGCTGCCTGGCTGGGGGCCTTGCCGGTGAGCAGCTCGAGCAAGAGAACACCAAAGCTGAACACATCAGCCTTCTGGGACACCCTCCTGGGATCGGTAACCTCTGGAGCACGGTATCCAGTGGCGCGAGAAGGTCCAGATGATGATGAACCAACAAGGGTGGCAAGGCCATTGTCTGAAACACGTGCTTGATACGTCTTCGACAGGAGGATATTGGAGGACTTGATATTGCCGTGCGAAGTCGAAGAGCTTGTAGAGTGGATGTACTCGATCCCACGGGCTGCAGCAAGGGCAATGCTTGATCTTATCGTCCAGTCAAGTGGGGTGCGACCAGAACCTCTGTTCCCTGCGTGACAAAAAATGATCACCATCGTGTGAGATTAGAGTTCAAGGTTCATCCGTTACATGGTCATGTGACACAATGAAGATACAAGCACAATCAATGAAAAAACTACCGCTCCACCAACTACAACAGATTCCCGACATTTTGTTTCCTCTAATCAACACAAAGTATACAATGGACATAAAGTAAACAAACAAAGAATAGACTTAACCACAATTGAGGAAAGAATATGGGACTATAAAAAGCAATCAACAGTTCTATTCAACATTCTGAAAAATTGGAGCAGATGGGTAACCCCAAACCTGAAAGGGAGCAGTTCACTGCAATACAAGTATGCTGGCCATAAACATAGTATCAGACCACAAGGAATAGCAGCCAGAATAGTCAGAATATGATTTTAATAATAATACCCAATAAAGAACACTTAAAATCCAAATACTTTGTGGATATCAAGCAAATAAACAAGATCTGCATCAAAATTTGCTTGACGTGTCACCTTCGACAAGACACACGTAAACTAGAGATAATCAAGCCATGACAGATGTAGTAATAGCTATACTCTCTGTTTCTAAATATAAGATGTCCGGTTGGTTCAATTTAAACTGCCGAAACGTCTTATATTTAGGAATGGATATAGTACAAGACAATCGCCCCTCAACAACTGCAATCCAATTCTCACACATTTACGAGAAAATCAAGTACCACTCTACCATCGCCACGGACGTAAAATGCGAAAATAAGATACTCACAAGCACGAGCACAGCATATATCAGAGTATGAGTACAGAAAACTGTAAAGGCACTGAGATGTGGAATTCTCACCGTGCAAGACTGCAGAAAGGCTCCCCATGGGCATGAAGTCGTACACAAGCAGCTTCTCATCTTTGCTGTAGTAGTAAGCACGGAGAGGCACGATGAACTCGTGCTGAAGCTCGCCAATGTCCGCAATGCGCTCACGGAACTCTGGCTCAGACATGGTGACATCCTTGAGCCGCTTCACCGCCACGGTAGCGCTGGATTCAAGCACAGCCTTGTAGGTCGTCCCGATGGCACCTTTGCCAAGGACCTCGGCCGACGCGCGCAGCAGGTCCTCCAAGTCGAACGGTTGGACGGCGGCCGCTGACCCGAAGAAGACCAGCTTCTTCCCTGAAGTCGACTGGCCCGCGGGGTGGCCCACGGTAGCCATAGGCGCCACGGCCGCGCCGCTGGGCAACTCCGGGGGTTTTCGGCCGCCGGGGATGACGGCGGGGGATGGAGACGGAGGCGGCATCTCCAGAGCCCGTGTCTTGGTGCGCCCCGACCTGCGGCAGAGGCAGATGAGAAGGAACAGGAGAAGCGCGGCGCCGACGACGGAGGCTATGGCGATTCCGGCAATGGCGCCGCCGGAGAGCTTGTTGCCCTTCTTGTCATTTCGTTCGTCGTTTCCGCTGTTCGGGTTGTTTGCCGCAGGTGTTGTCGGCGAGGGCGTCCTGCCCGCCGGAGCCGGAGAAGGGGGAGGGGCCTCGCCAGGGCAAGGGCCCAGGGGCCCGCCGCAGAGGGACGACATCCCGAGGAAGGCCGCGCGCGGCTTGGAGCGGAGCGAGGCGGGGATGGATCCGTTGAGCCGGTTGAAGGAGACGTTGAACTCCCGCAGCTGCGGCAGCGGGAGGTCGGGAATCTGGCCGACGAAGCGGTTCTCCTCGAGGAGCAGCGTCTTGAGTCGGGTGAGGTTGGCGAGGGCCGGCGGGATGGCGCCCTCGAGGCGGTTCCCGCCGAGGGAGAGGTGGACGAGGGCGGGGAGCGCGAGGAACGGCGCCGGGAAGTCGCCGGAGAGGCGGTTGCCGTTGAGGAAGACGCTGCGGAGCGCGGCCATGGAGGCGAGGTCGGACGGGAGGGCCCCGCGGAGCGCGTTGAGGCGGAGGCTGAGCGTGTGCAGCGCGGTGAGGTTCCCGAGCGAGCCCGCCGGGACGGGCCCCGCCAGCGCGGCCCCCGGGAGGCGCAGCGCCGCCACGCGGCCGCCCTCGCAGGTGACCCCCGTCCAGGCGCAGACGGTGGTGGGGTCGGCCACGTTCCAGGCCACGCGCTGGCCCACCGCGGCCCGGAAGGCGACGAGCGCCCGCGCGTCCGACGCGAGGTCGGCCGTCGCCGCGCCCCACGCCGCGAGGAGCGCGAGGA